TTYMAWKGRWTTTTTTTGCGTCTTTGCCGGTCGTTACCATTCAGCGTCGGCTGGGAGTGTTTTGAATTATGACATTCTGCATGTTGATGAGACCAAGGCAGATGCTTTTGTTTTTGAGCTTGCCCACGTCATGAAGATAAGGTATTTCTTTTGACTGCCTTTTTCCGGGAATATATAATTTTACTTTCGCATAAATTACATTAATTTATCCCAAACAATAGGACAACAATGACTTCCTCTTCTAAGGCCTTTTAAATATGAGGCGTTAATTCAAGAATACGAATTGAATTCATGATACGAACAGAGTAAAAAACTGCTTTGTTTTTCATTGCAATGGCACCGAAAATAAAATACCTTTATGTATGAATAGTCCTATTTYTATTACTTATCAAAACTGGGGATTAAAATGTGAATAAACCTTTTAAAATCTGGTCAGCTGTTATCAATTCAATATGTCTTTATTAAAAGTTATTGTTTGGRAAAGAATAGCCCATAAATGGCTGTATCTCACACTTATATTTAGAGCACCCTCATGGCATATTTTAGAAAAATGCTTTGTTATCTACTGAATTGACGGCACAAGTAAATTATTGAGAGCAAACACTTCCGTTATATTCAAGGAAGACGAATAAGATCCCCAACTTCGATGAAGAAAAAGAATATTTTTTTAAGCGCATAATTGCTTGATTTGCGGAAGAAGGCGCTTGCTGCGCGCGAGCACTTTCCTCAAAACCTCAATTTCTTGCTTTTCAAAACAATTTTAATTTTGTGTAATTTTGCSCCCGACTATTGTTTGYCGATGAAGTTTAGGTAGTTTTATGYCTTTTCTAACTCAAAACTCAACAGCAGACGTACCTATTAGATTCAAACCTGCTTTTTTTATTTCAAAATTTAAATTTGTTTATGTTTCTTTTGTGTTTATGTTTTGGTGCTACTTGAATTTGCTTAAGGCTGAATTTGATCGATACACGTCAGGATATATACTAAAGTCACAACGTGTTTGAGTTGAATATTTCGTAAATTATATTATAATTATACGCCGTATTTTGAAAACTTATAAACATCATCTAATTCAGTAATTATGTCAACTAAAATCCGAAATCCGGACGTAAAAATATCACAAATCATYATATTTATGCTCATTTGTCATCGTTATCTAATCTGCTAATATCAAAAGACTAAAAAATTGATGTAATAAGAATAATATTTTATCGTAATTTTTGGTAAATTAGCATAAATTATCTTAAGTTTTCGATGTGCTTGTACTAAATAAATGAGCGGTAGTTTTCAGATTAACACTCAAAACAGTATCTAAGTAAGGAAAGACTATCACTTTATTAGMAATCTAAGAAGTAAAAGAGTAAAAAAAGTCATTCCTTTTAAAATACTTAGACACTGTTTTGGTGATTTGTTCCGCAAATCTGAAAACTACCGCTCATTTAGTCCATTGAAGACTTTGAGCGGGAGTCGACCGTCACGCTACGTGTGACAGGAAACCGAATTTAAAGTGCACTAAATAAAAGTTATAATATGAATCGATACTAGTAAGGTCTAGTAATGTCTGTCGGATATAAGATTTGTAAACCTTTTCCTGTGATGATTTGGAAAACAATAACGACAATTGAACAGCTCGATGAAAGCCGTCAATCATTCGGTATTCGGCCGCAAACCAGCACTCGGGACCCTTCCCCACCACCGTCAGATTATATATCCACTGAAGATTGATTATGAACCCATCCCCACCCCCGTCAGATAATACATCCACTGAAGATTGAATCTTTGCTAATTCTTGAACTGAGCTCTGATTGGCTTGCTGCTCCCTAAGGATTTTGGTGACGTCATATATTAGCATAGAACTTCACCGAATAGACTATCCCAATTAGACATTAGATCTATAAGTGTCCTCATAGTACGATGGTCTAAGAGGGTAGCTAAAGGCATGCTCTAGTGGGCGGCTACCCCCTCACTCCCTGGCCTTTTGGTTAAGACTAAGTTTTATGTTCACTCGGGATAGCGTGGAAGAGCCGAAATCTCTAACCGTACCGTAAGCCGATTCGACGCCTCAGCTTCAYAGAATGTCTCGGGGGAATCGTCCCATCTTTTTWGTTTTTTATTTTCATTATTTCTTATGTATTCCGGGGGGGTTACATCTTCTGCTGAAGTAAAAGTCCTGAGTTCGAGTCTTGCTGCTGGAATTTCTTTTTTTTTACTTGTTTCTTGTTTCTTTTTGGTTTGTTTCTTGTCTTCTTTTTTTGTTTTCTTTTTCTTTTCTGTTGCTACTTTGTTTGTTTTTCTCTAGATTTTTTTAAAATAATAATCAAGAAGTCAACTACAGTACACTATTGCGGGCTTCCTGTTGTATCTGCGCGCGCATCGGTATATTGATTCGGCAGATTGTAAACACAGGAGCCCATTGCTGAACTTTGAAGAGATTTCTCTCGTTTTAAAGCAAATATTTCCATATAAATTTAAATGTAGAGGCTTTGCTTCRCCCTTTATACCATGGCCTTTCCTTTGAGTACCAAAAAACGAACAGAACATATTAATTTTGGCAAAGCTTTGGATGGATTGCCTGCTGACATTCGCAAAATATCACATGAAGTTACTCGAAGGTATGCAAATCCATTGCAAAAAAACCTTTCTGACATTCAACCTTTCCGTGAGAATACTTCCTTACATTGTACTTTTATCATGAATTTGTCAAATTGTGCACACTTGACCTGTCAAACATGAGTCATCGTCGTTTGTCATGGAAATGTTTTGCTCAACGGTAATTGAATTTCACATCTTAAGATTAAAAGCTTTCTTTTCGATTTTTCAGGCGACAAGGTATCGAAGAGGCATTGAATCATATCGATGATTCTTCAGAAACAATTATAAACTATCTTCAGGAGTATTTAGCAGTGAGAGATACACTAGARAKSATCAAGAAAAAGGTATAATTAWWTAAACTTACTTAGCTAGAGAGCTGTAACTTCCATTGAACCAGAAATTAGATTCTAGCTATAGATCTTCCTAATGTGAGATCATTCTAATCTAGGACATGAGGACTAGCCTTAATGTATTACAGTTGACTGATATATTTATTTTCTTTTTTCTTTAGGCAAAGAGTAGCTCMCGAATGAGGTTTGTAAGCAACTGCAGGGTCAGACGTACTTTACAAAAATAGATAAAAGTTWTCCATTCTGTAGATTTCATATGATTTTATTCACTGTATAAGGATTTATCTGACATGGAGCACTATTCTGCCATAACAACAGTCTGATGCACAAGAAATGACAGTTGTTCAGGGTTACAAATCTAATCATATAAAAAAGAAGTTCTTGTTTAACASGAAGCTTCTTTGTCTCTGTTTAACTCATTGAATTTAATTGTTTATTAATTGTGTGCACAGATTTAAATGGACAAACTTTCTAAGTGAAGAAAAAATAACATCAGAAGAGGTAGAATTTGACATGGCATCCATGCTTGTAGCATCTGGTCTGTGGCATATGTTACATGCCAATGAATGCAATCAAGGAGATCAAGAAGATGAGAGCAAAATGAAGGTAACAGCARAAAATATGTACATGACATCTCTTCCCCACCTCTCCCCCACTAGGGAGTAAYCTTTGWTTCCCMACAGGGAAGGGTTGGCAAGGAGTTTTACACAACACAGRCTATATGAATGATCTAACTGCCATTCAGTGCTACCTCTAGATCCTGTCAATCAATGAACTTTGCTGAACTCTTCTCCCTAAAAACCATTGTCTCCATCTGCAGTGGAGGTGAACAGAGATTAACCATCCTGGTTATGGCAAACAGCTAACAGCAGAGCTGAACCAATGGCCTACGAATTCCGTGCCTGATCTTGTACTTTGTAATCATTGGGAAGAGCAACTTTTCACGATAATTGCAAACTCAAAATAACCCACTCTCACTTTGAAACTATGATGCTAAACCCCCCAAAAGCAGGTCACCTGATCTTTCTGCCGTTTGCAATTTTTCATAAACGTCATGCTAAGTTCTCTGTTGATAGTGAATCAAACTCAGAATGATATTTACAGATGATTTTATTCTGTGTAGGAGGCTCTGAACTCTCTGAAAACCGCAGCAGGTATATTTGAATGTCTTGCGTCAYTTGGTCATGTTTCAAGAGGAAACAGAGATATTGAAAGTAAGGATTCAATTTTAAACCCCCTCAAAACCTGAAAAATTAATTTATTTAATAGTACAAGGGCTACAAGAATAAATGCATTTTGAGTGAATACTATTCTCCAATAGGAAATGTGCAGAGACGCCATTTTGTGCAGCAAAGGATGATGGTAGTTATAGTTCTCATACTTTTTTATGTCTGCCAAAACAGTCCTCCTTAGCAGGTTTTGCTTTTTCTAAGCGAGAATAGAAGTATTTATTCAGTTTATGAAAAGAAAATGTCAAAACGGCTTTTAAGGAGATATTTTAGGGGCTATGAAAAGTGCGAGGGCTACAACTACCATCATGCTTTGCTGCACAAAATGGTGTCGCTGCACATTGTCTATTGAATAATGTCCATGTACATATTGTTTTAGCTTCAACTATAAGAGCGCTGCACTTACAGTGTTTAGCAGAAGCTCAGGTAAGTGGTATTTATGCTAATAATTGTTATTGGTTTTGAGTGGTATATCCTCTTATGGACACCGTTATAAACATCATTAAATTTTCAAATTTCATTTTTAGTGTGTGACTATCAGAAGAGCCATGAGTAAAGGCCATAAAGCGTCATTAATTAGCGAACTGTGTGCTGATGTTGCCGAAAAGTACTCTTCAGCTGCAAAGCAACCAGATGTAAATATACTGGACTAGTTTTAGATACTTTTTATGATGTTTTTAACCAAATGGAGTGASTTTAAAAAATGATTTATTGAAAACGTTTTTTTTTGTTTTATAAGGATTCCCATCATTTAGACCATAAGTGGGCAACATATCTTAAATTTCAAGGTAATCAAGAGAGCTTTTCCTTTCTTATGAAATCTTATGAAATGAATTATAGTAAAAGTTTATTATGTTTAAAAAATATGTAGCCAGAATAGGGAACTGATTTTTGTTGTTGTTGTTGTTGTTGTTGTTGTTGTTATTGAAAACAAATATATTTGTTCATTAGTTCAGCTCGACGATAGCTTGAAGTTTGAATAGGAACTCATATTTCTCATTTAACTTGGCTAATTTCATTACATATTATACATATATTACAATTTTTAATGAGTATTGATTGTTGATTTTTTGTAAGAATAATATTTCAATTTTGATTTCAATTCTGTTTCAATACTGAGATAATATTTCACACACAATAATAACATTTTAAATATTTTACAGGTGAAACATACTTGGCTCTGATGAGATGTTACCAAGGAGTGCACCTTCTTGAAACAGAGGAACAGTGAGTACTACTTTGCAGGAACATAACATTTAATGAAGCAAAATTAAAGGAAGAGGGTAGGGGAGGGGAGGGATCTCTCAGGAATACCTTATACTTTCAGCATTCGGGCCGGGTCCACTAGCTTCAAGTCTCAGCCCGACAGATCCAAGTATCTGCTTGTTATTATATTCACCATGGGTAAATCTATAAATTTGCTTCATTTTTATTGATTTGCCTTTTAGCTCTGCTCAGAAATTTTATTTTCTAACATATATTTTTGTTTCAGATGTGGTGATTCCATTTCTGTTTTGACAGAAAGTGAAAAACACATCCAACAAGCATTGTCTCATTCAAAAGTGAGTGGAAAAAGTTTTTTTTTCTTACAAAAGTGTGTGATTTAGTGACAGCATTACCTCATGGATGTCACATTGTCAGAAGTGCAGTTTTATAGAAGATAACAATCTCGTACCCAGAGCCCGCACNCTCCAACAACTGAAGAGGAAGAAACAGAAACCTCAACTAATACAGCTGATGCAGCAGAAAATGAAGAAGGAAAAAGTGGAGAATGATGTAGCTTCACTTTTGAATATYATTATTAGGATGCACTACATTTTCTGAGAGCAAGAAGACTCTATTCTTTATCKAATTTTTTTACATTAAATTTGTGTACCTACACTTAGAATCATCTTTCTTTTACTAGTATGTTGCTGAGAATTTGTTCAAAGATGTTTTTGTAAATATGTGAATATTATATTTTAGGTGTTGATGATTTACAATTGGCACATTTGGGTAATTTTGACATTGTTTACAATGCATGTATTAAAAGTAAAATTTTACAGTTATTAATTGTATCGTTTAAATACTAATCGATATTGTATTGTGTGATTGCGTTACGTCGCGCGTTACGTAGTTTTACGTCACTAAATGTAATTAACTTAATTATCGTTGTTCATTGTGAAGACCTTGTATTATCGGAAGGACCATAAGATTTCGAACCATATAATTGTTGGTGATCAACTCTGTAATTCTGATAATTGGTCACGATGACAATAAAGTGTTTGGAACTGTGGTCGTGTTTCAACATAACTCACAAATATAGCTATAAATAAAGCTATAATATTAGTTTTTATAGCAAATTGTATTTGGTATCATTTCAGTAACAACACAGAAATTATTAAATGTTTTCAATAATGTGTTTAAAGTATTGGTAGAAAACACAAATGAATTTTCAAGATCCAGAAAGTGAAATTTTGGGACAAAATAGAAGTTTAAAAATAGGACATTTTAAATTTTAAATACTTCTATTCAAACATGCTGCTCCTCTGGCTCTAAGCCATTGAAATATTTTGTATTGTATTTGAATTGTGTTCTATAACCTGTGGTATTATATTTTAAATCCCAAATCATTGTACTTATATTTCAAAAGAAAGAATTGAAATGAAATAAAGAAAATACATTCGTGGACAAAAGCTTTTCCAAGTTAAAGGCAAAAAGTAAAACAAAAATAGCAAATTAGAAAGACAAAACAATAATAGAAAAAGAAATTAAGGAAGAGCCGCAAGGAAATGAAAAACAAAAGACTAGAACCATGTGATGCCGCGACTGCGTGGTCCTGGAACCAAATGCAATGCTTTTCCATTTGCGAGGGCTGAGAGTCTGTGGAGTTTACAACATTTTCGTGAAAAAATTCCCCTCTAGGTWCTTTGCTAATGCTAAAAACATGGAGTGCAATGACTTATCTGCTGGGTTTATAACATGTCCTAACCATGAAACAGCCAAAGCTCTTGCCAGGTGAGTTTTGATATGTATAAATCCSTTTCAACCTAGTCGRAGTTCTGACTGAAACTACGGCGATGGTTGTAGAACTGTCATTCTTAAGCATATTTATCGTTCTTAATATTCCTTTAGATAGTAATATTAATTTTGTAGCATCGTATGTGGTCGATGAAGAGGGAAATGGGATTTGGATGGCTAATATATTTAAAAATAGACAGACCACATCGAACGAAAACACTTCTGGCATGTGCTATAAGCTTATTTTAATGCAAAACTTCCTTGCTGAATGGATGCTGTAAAATATTTCATCTAGGCATGAATAGTTTTGTGTTTTAGATACACTTTCAACGTCGTTTTGATAGGTCATTCAGCCTTCTTTGAAGTGCGAGGTGAAAATTGTACAATTCTATCAAACTCACTTTTAGTATTTACGAATAATAATTAAGCTTACTAAATGTCAACAATGTCTGGTCTACAGTAGTTTTCCTGTCACGTTTACATTTCTAAGAAATATCTTAATTATTTTAATTTTTCACAGGCATTTTATTTTTGAGGTGTTTTTATTTATTAAATATGCTGAAGTTGTCYTTCTTTTATTCCATTTCCTCCCAACCCCTAAGAGATTAGGGTGCTTTGTTCTGTCTCAGCCCAACCTGTTATATCATGACAGATCGTTTCATTTTCATACACCTTTGGACCTATGAATGTCAGGTGTTTGCTATTTTTGTTAACAGGAAGTCTACTGAGCCGAGGTCCTAATTTGTCTATACTCATTAGATAGTTTCATCTGATATTTCACACCATTTGATCCCTTGAAAGTATTGATTGCCAATGTCCTTAAAAGTCTCGCTATTAATGCTTTGAACTCAATAACACAATTWGAATTTGAATCCAGATTTTTTAGAACAACATTCTTATCTCTAATATCATGTCATTGGCAAACTCTTGGCAGACTATCAAATACTAGTTGGTGTCGTGTTTGATTCCAGGTCCCTTACACCATGCAAATTATCTAAATTTTATGAAAATTCATTACTTTTTCAGGGGAATGGTTGAGAAAAACTTAGTAGCTTGTGTCAATATAATACCAAATATCACATCAATGTAAGTAAAACAATAACAAGCTTTTCTGTGAATCATAACAAAATATCATTTTCTCATTTTTTTTTAATATGCAGTTATGCATGGGAAAATAAAGTTGAAGAAGACTCTGAATTTATGTTGGTTAGTGAAACTAATGTTTCTTTCTTGTGAAACTAATGTTTCTTTCTTCTTCGTACCCTTTTCCCTAATTCAAAATTCATTAATTTGAACATTTGTCTGTCCCATTCCCATCACATTCCCTTACAGTCTGCTTTCATTTAATCCTTTGGTTGTCCTTTCATAATCAACCAATTCATTCCTACATTTCTTATTCATTTTTTCATTTGTCCATCTATCCTTCCATTTTTTTCCAGACATAATTCACATGTAATTAATTGTAATCCAAATGGAATGGAAAAATGCTGCATGAATTTCATTTTTTTCAGTAATTTATGCAATTTCTGTGATGTTATGGTGTAAACATGCTCTTTATCTTTATTAGTTGATAAAAACAAGAAGTACAAGAATACCAGATGTCACTGATTACATAAAGTAGGTCTCATCAAAAGTGTATTCAAATCATATTTCTGGTTATATTTCTTTAATTTTTTAAACTATTTCAGTTCATTAGTATCATAACACGTCCTTTTGTTGGGCTCCCTGTTTCCTTTTGGGTRGGGCAATAAGACTACAAGCTCATTGATAAAAAATAATAACTTTTTTCAGAAAAAATCATCCATATGATGTCCCAGAAGTCATCAGTTTCAAGGTAACTTTAGTGAGCTACTTCATGTAAAGTAGACTGACATATCCGTTTCTCACCCCTCCAAAAAAAAAGGGAGTGAGGGGTTGGAAATGGATGTACACAGGCTACATGTAAAGTTGAGTGAATGGCTAATTTATTGGATAAAAAACTTCCTTTCTTTCAGATTGATCAAGGAAACCCGGGTTATCTGGACTTTGTAAGAACAAATACAGTTGAAAATCCTCAGAAATCTGAACCATAGACTGGTGTTTTGTAGACATATTGTACAGCACTACAAAGAATGATATACAGCACGTTGAATTATCTACAATTCATTAGATGTGCTTCATTACAAAATTCTAGTGTTGTTTCAGTCGTAGCTGATAGACGAATGATTAAGTTATTGAAAGTTTTTTTTTTAAGTTGTAGACATAAACAATAAGTTCTGTGTCACTGAAGAGTWATGCAATGTGTGCATTTATAGTTGGTTGTACAAAAAGATGTACAAAAGAATTGCAGACAAGCTCTGGGGTCACAATGAATAATCTTGTATAATTCTTATATTTCCACTGAGCCTCGTCTGCAATTCTGAAATATCTAAAGTCAGCTTATTGCATTGGTACAAAGTGAATGATTTCCATTTGCAATAAGTCTAAGTGTTTGCAGATTTGCTAAGATTTTACATTTGCACTAAAGAAGGCAATGGATCAGTTTATTTCTGAGTTACCTGTTCGTTTCTCATCAAATGTTGTTAAAACGGTTCTTCAACCTGCAAAAGGTATTAATTTTATTCCCATAGAAGTGTACCACACAATCATTATAGCTTGTACTAGTTTTCATATAAGGATGTTATGATATTGCAGTATCTTGTACTAGTTTCCATATAAGGATATTATGATATTGCGATGTGACATCACAATAATGCAGTCTTAATTTTAAAAAGTTGTTGTTATTCAACTAGTTACACAGTGATGCCGAAAAGAAGCTGAAAACTCTAAATATTGACCAGTTTTTTACCCTTATCTGTTGGTARAATATRATTTCACAATTTGCAATGCAGTGTATTACACTCTATTTCACACAAGAACTAAAATGTCATTTACTCATCAGTTAAGTTTTATTTCGGCTGGTCATGTAGACATGCAAGAGAGCAACATTTTATGAAAAGACAGTTTCTGATATTTTAATCATAAAGTGTATTAGCCATGTGGGTTAGCCACGAGTCTTATTTGCAGTAGAAATCAAAAAGTGCTTTTATTGTGGTATTAGCAATAGTTTTTGATAACAATAATAATTATCATTTACAGTGGTTAGCATTAGTTAACGATATTGGAGGTGTACATTTCATTATGGAATTTGTTGTAAAAAAATCACAAAGGGTTTTGGAATTATTGCTTGCTTTGGAGTTGCCTTATTTGTTTCTTTCCAACTCAGTTGGAATTATGTATGGTTCGAGTCTCTTTATATGCATTCTAAATATAGCGATACTCAGTGTTTATCAACAAACTCATTCTTATGTTACTGTGCCAACCATGATCAGAATGGCTTTTCACAAGTCACTTTGTTCTAACAGCCAGTCGTCTTCTGGTTGGCACATGAATAACAAAGGCTTATGTCACATTAAGTATATTAGCTATACTTGTAGATGCATAGTACAGTAGTTGAATACTTTGAAATGTCTCTCTACTGGTGGAATTCTGTTTCTGGAAAAAATCTAGTGTCCCCTTGGAGGACAAAGTGATTTCCAAGGAGTATGWGAGTCTTAAACATCTACATTTCCTACAAAATACAAAAAGTGTTTCTGTGAAATGTTATCATGTGTAATACAATGCATGTAAAGCCAGACTTCAGTTTAAGTTTTAATCAATTTACTAGATAAAAATGAAATAAAAGCTTGTCGTGCAACCATCGACTTCATGATTTATATCTGTTTCACAGGCTACTCTTTAAGCATAAATAGCCGCTACCATATTTATACCCCACATCAAAATGTGCTTTGATTTCATGACAACTGGATCTGTTACATATTTATCTTTCCAGTTTATCTGAACTGACCACCAATAACTATAATCAAGGTTCGTGCTAGTCCTTGAAAAGTCCTGGAATCGAAAACTTGTTTTCAAGGGCGCTTGAAAGACCTTCCCCAACCCACAATGAAAAAACCTTTCAAGGAGACAAGCCACCTTTCAACCATAAAATGTGACAATAGACAACTAAAAAGGAATTTATATTTAGAAATTTAATCAACAACATATGCAGCCAAGCAAGGGGTCTTCTGTGGGTACTGGAAACAAACAGTATTCTGGCCAAATTTCAGAGTATTTTGTTGTTTTTTTGTTTCTTTTAAAAATTATGTAATGCTCTGTTATGGCTCTGGCTACCACAGAAGTAACCCTTACTCCACAACTAYTTTTTCAATGTACATTTAGGAAAGACAGTTGACTTCTGAATACCCTACCCTACCTCCCAAAAGTGACACCAAGAAATGCCACTTTATCAATTTTTTTGTAAGCAATTAGAGTATACACACTAAATCTGTGAATCTGTCTCACTATTAAATAGTGCCAACTATTAGACAATAGAAAATAAAAGAATAAGGATGATTTGGCAACTATTTTGTATTATTTTTGCTTCCAGATTAAAATGTGTTTACTCTTCTCCTTCACAAATAAAAGACATTATATTGTAATACCAATTTCAACACAAACAAAACAGTTACTGTTTGCCTGATAGTCAACCTAGCTCAACAGAGTTTCTATTAATTATTTATATTTGATAAAATATTTGATCTGATTGTGTTTATGTTCTGATTTGAAATCTTCCAGCTTTGGTGACATATTTCACTCCTTTAAATGGTTTGTATTTCTGGAAAGAAAAACAAAAAGAATTTAGGATAAAAATATTACAAATATTAATTAGCTGGAATGATTTACTGGTATTTAAGGTTGTGTGCATGTTCTAATCTTATTTTACTTCAGTCCAGACTAGTTTCTGGTATTTACTTCAATCTTCCTTTGGGAAGTCATTCCCCCCCTTTTCCCCATACAAGAAAAATCTCCCTTATGTTTCAAGGCAGGGAGAGGGGAAACAGCTAAGTCTTTATTATTGGCTAATGTTCAGTGATTTCTAGTACAAAACATGATGAGACTTACCTCGCCATACAAGTCTAATCGGCTTACTTTGATGCCTGATGCAGATAATTGAGGGATTCGAAAATCAACCTGTGGTTGTGGATATAAAGTGGTAAATATTAGATAACAAACCTTTAATCAACATACATGTACATGTATACCATACAATATATCAACATATCCACAATGTACACTACAATATGACCAATAATGGTTGCTTTTTTCATCTACTTAACTCACAAAACGGTCGGTTGATTACTTACAGAAATTGTTGTTGATTCATCTGGGGGAGGTACGCCAGTTTGCAAGGACATCTGTGAATTAATAATCAAACATCAATAAAAACTAATAATAATTAATATATTCAAATGTAGCCCACAAATGTACACTTACACTTCCTCTGAGTACTGGCAGTTTTTGTGGTAAGATTTTTCCAACCTGAAAACAATGAATTAAATGTTTTAACTGTTACAAAAACTACTGTCTAGAAGATACCTAGAAATTCAACTGAGAGCAACATCCAGGTAGCTTGTCTTATAAAACTTATTAATAATGCATAAGCTATTGCTCCAATAAGGGCTGACCATTTAATCAGGTGATTGACCTTGTAAATCTGATACAACCACTAGTGGCCGCTCATGTTGTAAACTATACATACAGAGGGGTTATACTTGCAAATGTGCAAATAATAAGCTGAATGTAAGTTCAAAATTTCACTTTGACTGTGTCATTTAGTCATGTAGCGATACGTTTTTGTGCCATTTTGTATTGTTTTTCATTCCTTTTATGACAGAGAAGAATACAAAATCAATAGTCTCCTTCACGGTTACCTGCGCCATCTTGAAAGGTAGCYGTGCCTTTGCATCGAAGCGAGACAACCGTTGAGTGTGCAATGATAGAAACCTCCTTTCACACCTACAGACAATTATTCACAGGTTTCTATCATTGCASGCTCAACGGTTGTCTCGCTTCGATGYAAAGGCACGGCTACCTTTCAAGAYRGCGCAGGTAACCGTGAAGGAGACTATTTGAATAATGCTAAGTTTTATTTCTTATTTTCTATTCATACTAACCTCCCATTTGAGTTCTTTCCGAACAGGGTCATATGAGTAACTACCAACTGCAATAAGACAAATACAATTTTAAGAGGCACAAAAAATAAGAAACATTGAACCTTGTGTTCATTTTTTGTTTTGAGGAGAAAGGTTTCATAACAAAACCACCAATATGCCGTGGCAAGTGGTATTCAGTAAATGAATGGTTCAATTTCTACCTGTTGGTGTAAGGTTTACATTAAGGACTTGTTTGGGAAAAGGAATTGTTACGGCAACATCTTCAACCTGCAAATCAAAAAAAAAAAAGAGCTTACAACATGCTTGAACTCTGGTGTGAACTCTGTAAAAGGCATTTTCAAGTTTAAACTTTAGAAACTATGAACTTACAGTTTTGCCCATAGTTTGCTTTGGTCCAACCGTCAACTCAAAGCGACCAGAGCCACCCTACAGATATCAAGAATGAAAAAAATAATTATATGTCCAGGAAAACATCATTTTTAACATAAATGACATATTATTGATGCATTATCTCTCACCTCCTGGTAGGTAATTTGATGTTTTACATAGACAGGTATAGCTACTGCCCTAAAGTGAATAATAAGGGGCTTTGAATTACTATAAACATCACATTGTAAAAAAATAGTGTTCTACTCTGCTAAGAAAGCAACTACTTTTTTTTTCTTTTTTCAAGTAATTAACGTTGAGTCTTTTACACTTCAAACCCATTTTCAGGAAGAACTGGTGAGAAAACTTATCCTTTAAATAAATTGATATCTTACCCTGTAGTTATGTGGTATGATAGCAATCTGTAGTTACCATCAGGAGGCACAAATGATAAAACCTTTTCAGACTGTTGAAAACAGTTGTAATTGATAAATGAGTCACTAACTGTGACAAACAATTAAACAGCTCAATATTAATATTATTCAAAGTTTGTGATATACAAGAAGAAGTGGTCTACCTCCCATCTCTTGAACCGCACACATGGGTGAAAACTTGGATCATCCAGAAGTCTTGGGTTTATAAACGACATGGTCAAATCTAGGAGAAGTCAAAGTTATGTAAAACCTTGTAATACATCCAATTTTGATGTCACCATTTAAGGATCTATAAATTATTATTATAATTAATAGTATGTCTATGCCATACCTGGCATTCCTGATAATTTACATACGCTGTCAATCTGTAAAAAGTTAAATACAAAATGTCAAATGGTAAAAAGTAATAGAGCTACATGTTTATATAAAAAGAAACAACTTTTTACAAATTGTAAAATTATGTATTACCACTCCTTGTATCTCTGTGAACACAACTGATCCCTGAAGTGGATAAAGGAAAAAAAGTTATGTAGGATTATTTTGTACATATTATAGGTATAAAGGAATTTTAGATTCAATTCTATTATTAACAGTAATGATAGTTTACTTACATGTTTATCAATAATGCAGTCTATTTCTTCTATCACATCAAAGTAAATCTGAAAAGATAAAAATATGATGAATCAATAGGGAAAATAAGATGAATTCATAGTAGATAGATGTTAACAATAATTTAATACATGAACCAGGCATATTCCATACCTCATTATTTGTGTATTTGACTCCTGTTCTTCTCCATGGCACATTGGATAACTGACCAGTTGGTAAATGAGAACTCACACTTAAGAATAAAACAGAACAAATTTGTGATATTTAAAACCAAATTGGTGATGAAAGCTACATACGTGTGAAAAAGAGTAGTCTCATTACAAAAGCATAGTCCACCTTTCAATGACACAGGGAACTGTGAAGGAGGTTAATGAATAATAATAAATGCTTACTGTGAAGACCCTGTAACTGTGTTGACAACTTGACTGACTATACTTGGAGGTTTGATAAGCTCTTTGAGGATATTTGGTTCAGTGGCCAAAGGAAAACCATTATCAAGCATTTCTTCAAGTAACTAAAGAGTAGAAAACTTTACCAGTTAACAACTTTTACACTGCTTACACCATAGATAGTGAATACAATATACAGATAACTTTAATGGATATTGTTGTGCAGCATTCTTACCTCATAAACAATTACAATGTGTTCTTTAAGTGTTGTTTCACTACAAACATGAAAATAGTCTTTGAATATATCAAATGCTCTGTGTAGAAACTCAATGACAAATAATGGAGGAACTGAAAAAGAAAAACAAAAAACAATTATTATAAATACAACAAAAAAGAGCRATGCTGTTTTTTTCTCAGACAATACGCTTGATGGAAAAATGTCAATCATAAACAAGTCAATACTTTTGTTGGGAAGCATATTAAATGTATACAATCATACTATATTTTCATGTACACATTCTTGTAAGGAGTTGTTGAACTTACCTTCTGATTGTACAACTGCCACAAAGAATAAATGATTTCTATATATACTGATTAAGTAGTAGTGTGGTGTGGCGATGACAGGGGGGACATCCTCTGGTGCAGAYGCCTTAGATAGATATAAATTAGTTATTGACCAATCAATCAATCAATCAATCATTCAATCAATCAGTTTAATAGTCAACCAATTAATAAATAAACCAACCATTCAACCCATCAATCAACCAATAAATACAAGCTTATCAAATAAAACGATGATGTAAATTTTCAGCTGATTATTGCCCACAATGAATACTCACTTTAGTTTGCGCTTCAAAGAAGTGGTCACATATTGATCTACTTATGACACTTTTCCAGTGCTTTTCCACGAAGATGTCCCTATATATTWACAATGAAGGCATCAACATTTTAAGATCRCTCACACTGAAAATCAAACAATCTATCATACACACAACCWAGKCTTGGGTCATATGATCACACCGGCMAGACTGACTTGAACTGATTTCACAACTTAATAACTATAATCCAAACATACATACCCGGTGTTGTTTAAGATAAAAAGGCTATTTATCATGGCAAAATATCGTCAGATCATTCAGTTTCTTTAGGAGAAAACACTTCCTTCGAGAACTTAGAAATCCAAGATGGCGAGACTAGTACCTAGTCTCCCCGAACGTATACCTTGCGCGCACGTCACGTGATCGTCAAAATGATATTGAAAACAGGGAGGAAAGAGAAAGAATRATCCTGGAATGAGAAACGAACCGCAAAGAAAAAAAATGTGTCAGATTTGTTTGGACTATCATCATAAATAGAAAAAACCCAATCTGTGTTGGAGTAGAGAAGGGAAAAGTCTCCTAAAGCACTTTTGGATGAAAGAAAGACCATCACAAGAAAAAATAATTTGGGCACACAAGGGAAGGAAGTGYCATTGATAGATGACGATTAAACATTTCATATATTCCACATCAGGCTGCGCCTCACCCCAAGAGAGATAAGGGTCTGGGGACGAGGTTCAGACCATGTGTCTTTTTCGTAACTTTTATTTCATCTATAAAGTATCAGATTTTTACACCAATGTTTTGATATCAATCTAATAATCAATAGGATTATTTGAATATCAATTTTCTCCAACATATAAAAGAATTACTTTCATCAAGTTTTTCTTTTTTTTTTAGTTTTGATGATAATCTTATTTGCATTATGCTGGCAACTGCATGGTCATCAATCAGGTGAAAATTTACAGCATCATATATATAAATATTAAAGAAGAACTATTCTATACAAGACAACAAAACTCTACAATTGCATTATTATTCTGTGTAGGGAGGAGGGGGGCTACATGGTGGTTCACTAGAGTAGGAAGGGAGRCGAGGGCCTGGATAATTTTCTTCAGGACTTGTTGCCTGGCTCACYGAATTTCCTGAAATAAAATATGGAACTAAGTAAGTTATTACACTTATTGATAGTAACAAAAAATGCTATACCTGTAAGAGTAGTTGTCGTGGTACAATTACAATCTGTATTTAAACTTGATGCTTCAGTTGTGCGACTTGGGAGCTCGTCAGGTGGAGTTGAAGGACCAGGAAGCATRCTGTCAGATGATTGATAAGAGAGAGGTATGTTGAGTGAGGGAGTTGATATAGAAGTTGTCATGACAACAGTGACAGGYTTATCTTTGTCTTCATCGATGACCTCTTGTGGCATCTCTGCTGTTTGTTAAAAAAAAAACTTTCATTCATCACGACATAGCTATGCACAGGTAGGATTTCAAGAGTTTCCCATTCCTTGGTAAACATTACAAAGTGTTTGAAATATGAGACTTTATTTGCCAAATACAGTKTTGTATAGTTTTTGTTCATTGTAAATCCAAAACAACATCCATGCAATTTTGCAGTAAGTTGCCTTCTTTACAGTTCTGAAACCGTAAAAAWGGGGAAACCCCCAAGAAACCGCTGCACATGACCCTGTGTGAATTACACGCCAACAAGAAAATGCTTGGAGTTTGTACATTCTGTAGAATTGCAAACGAATAAAAGGTGATGATGTAATTGTTTTTGTTTTCAGATAATGTTGAAACGAATTTTAGAATTTAAGCAAATATCTGACACATTAGAATTTTAAGTAAGGATTCAATTGAGTTCAATTAACTGAAACAACACTAAGAAATTCCATGCTTTTCAAACAATCCGTATTTTATAATTTCTGGATCCTGTCTGTGACTCAGTTACTAATAATATTATAAACCACAGGTTTCACTTTCATAATGTAGAATAAATTAAGAATTTAATTAAGAATATCTTAGATTTCGTTATATAAAGCGGTTTTATACAGAGAGTAACTTCTAAAGCAAAGCCGTTTTTTGTAGCAACGTAAAAATACAAAATATGCATTCCGACGATATCACTTCCGGTTAAAATACCTGAAAGTTTGTCTCTTTTCTTCCTCTCAAATAAATCCAATATCTTTTTAAGGAGCCAGACCTGAGTCTTGTTATTTTGTATGAAGTTGCAAAACTCGTCAAAACCATTTGATCCTTTGCTTTCCAAAATATCGAGAAATCTTTCTGCCTTTTTTCGTCTTAATCGTTCTGCTTCAATCATGTCGCAGTCATCAGCATCAAAGACTCTTCTGGAGCGAAAATAAGCAAAGAATTTTTCTGGCGTTAGATTYTKGACTAGTTCGTCTCTCATTTCATGCAAAACCTCTATTTTYAAGTTCCAATACACGTCGTCGTCCGAAATGTAAGCKGCCGCCATGTTGTTGTCAGTGTATCAGCACAGGAAGCCCACTGATATTTTTGAGTAATATTTTCACTTCCGGATCTTCCGGGGATTACTCTGCGGGGATATTTGGAAATAATTCACTTTTGTATCCCAATATTCGAAAATACATGATGATGTACATGATTTGATGTAAACATTAAGATATGTGCGACGTTATTTGGATTTTTGATCGAGTTTTTCATAATGTTATGATTTGGGCTCCCTGTGAACTTCGAAAGGGATGACGGGTAAATAACATGGCAGAATGGTTCTTCCCAAAGATCTAACACCAGTTGAGGAATACTTGCTGAAAAAGTTTGCGCTTTTAAAAAGAAAGGTAATAGAAGTTATCTGATATAACAAACAAGGGTTTACTCTTGCAAATCAGGCAATTTATGGATAAAAACGGGTAATATGTCGTTGAAAAATGTGACCATATCTTTTGTTACCATTTTCTAATGACATTGGTAGAACCTATGAATACAAACTTTGAAATCGTTTTATCCTGCTTTACCTTTAGAAAAAAGCTTTACAGAGGGAGAAAGAGAAAGCTGAAGCAGCTAAAAATGTCAAGCCTGGGACCAAAAGAGGTCGAACCTTGATTTACAGTGTTTTTAAAGTTAAATAAAATTATTTACTGTAAATAATTAGCTTATATTGAATYAGAAAATTTTGTTGACATTCTTTTATATTTGTACAGCTGCTCCAGACAAAGTGCATCCCCCAAAAGATGCCAAGGAAATAGCCAAACAACTTATTGCATCAGGGGTAATATGAAATTCCACACACACCTCCAAATCAGGGAGGTTTTTACTTTTAATTATAAGATGGGTGGGAGCCCTGTGCCACTAATAGAATAGTAATGAATATTCTCATTTGAAAATCAGACGGTGAAGATAAAGAAGGATAACACACATCGCGAGTTTAAGAGAACAAAATCTGAAAGCAGGAAGATCAGAGTAAGAGTGTATTTTTTCTTGTTTTGTTGTTGTTGTTGTTGTTGTTGTTGTATCTGAGATCTAAAGCGGACAATTGTTTTTGCAATATAGGAAGGGCAACATGGATCCAGACCACCACAATCATCATCTCATGAATCACCTGAAAATTCACAGGTTTGTGAGTTATGTATTTCTGGTTTTACTAGTATCATGTTATTTCAGGCTTTTTACATTATTTAGTTTGACTTTTGATACCTGGCATTAGACTTTTTGTCTTTATATGTTATGTGAAATGATTTGTTTTGATTAAATTTTGTATTTAGATCTCATAGTATGTAGTATGTATATCAAAACATACATTCAGCAGTATTTATATCTTCTTTGACTATTCTGATAAGCACACTTCCTAAAGTTTTTTGTTTATTTGCATGCAGAGGTCTCAAGTAAAGAACTTATATGACAGGTATTTACTATGATATCAAGGATTTCATTAGAACCAGCAACCAGCAAAATCCAGCATCTATTTTGAACTTTGTGGCAGCTACTTTTTGCAAAATACGCTTGTAATTTCCTTGTAATGCTTGTGGCCYCTAGGGTTATGATTCACATATGGATACTTTTCCATGTTAAATCAAAATTAATATACCAYTGAGATAACAATTACATTTTATATGAGGAATTATAAGCCATGTTCTTTTTTTCTAGTTTTGTTCCAGCTGGGAGAAGAGGTTCYCCAGACTCTGGTGAGTTTTACTTCATTCTCATRCCCAGACACTTTTCAGTTTCCTAGTGGAAAATTGAAGGCTGTTGTTGAGATATTATTATCATTATTATTATTATTATTCTTACTCCACACAGGGTCACGTGGATATCATTATCATGGCCAGGAAAGAAAAAGAGTAAGATACTTCTTTTCTTTGTCCAGGAAGTTACGCTATTATATTAACTATTAAACCTCTGATAGCAACTGATGACAGTATCTATCTAAAGTAGCAATTATATACTATAATATTGTATACTGTTGAAGGATAACATTGTTTTTTTAAAGATTATCGTACACTAAGATTGACATTTTGCTTCTAAGTATCATGTTAACAACAACATTCTTTCTTTAAAATGTGGAACAAATTCAACATTAAAATTATAGGAAAATATCATATTGAAAAATACATTAATGTCTTGCTAGGGAAAGATGATCTTTGTGAGCGGCATTGGCCTTACAGAAAAAATTCTCAATACTGCTTTCAATAACTTTGGTAGGTGAATGAAGAATCAATCAATATATTATCTAATATGTCTATAATGTCTTAATCATTTTTAACGAGAAAAATTTGTGCTTTCAAAAGGTGAGGTAGAGAGAACCCACTTTGAAAAAGAAAAGAAGTAAGTTTTTGTGAGCATGACTTTATAATGATATCAAAGCATATCTTGGATGACAAAATACTTTCTTTTGGCTATAAAATCCTGATGAACACATGGTATATTACTATTTTATCCCAACTCTACTTTTTTTCAGCCATGGTTTTGTAACATTTGACTCATTTGAAGCTGCTGAAAAAGCGATCGAAGAGGTAAATGCAACCAACAATGTCATATAAGACTAATTTTTGTCTTCAAAAATAATAATAATCCTTGAAACACAAACAAACCTTTGTGAAGCTATGTGTATTTTATGATCATTGCAGATGAATGGCTTGATGGTATCTGGTGTTCATATMAAAGTTGCTCTTGCAAGAAGACAGCCTTATTTAGATGAGGCTCACTCTCACGGCAGACGTTCACAGTGGGGTAGTAGAGGTAGGGTAACATTGACACTTTTGCCAGAAAGTTCTTCCTGGTTCCCTGCGCCATCTTAAAAAACCATGTGCCTTTGCACAGAGTAACTCAGCAAGCTTGCAAGGATAGAAACTTGTGATTAAGTGTCATAAGGTATCAAAGATTTCTATCATTCCATAAAGGTCTCCCGCTCATATTTTATATATTACATACAAATTTTTGAAGGCCACTAAATGATATCCTGTCATTGTTCCTGTCATTGTATGCTCACTGGTCAATGCATAAGGTGGATGTCTTGTAAGATGGCGCAGAGTATTTAAAAATGAAGACTATTATCAAAACTGTTCACATTATCAAAAAGTGTTTTATAATGTTACTTTGTTTAATAGATGGACGTGGTGGACCTAGTGACACACAACATCAAGAGAGAAGATCYCTGGTAGTGTATGATGATGAGATTTGATAACAAAGACATGAAAACAGTGTAAAAAACTTTAATATTTAATACTGTACAGAAACATCTTGTAAAATTGTGAATAAAATAAATTATTAAACCCATACAAGTTTTGAGCCATTTTGAGAAAATATGTTTGATAATCTTCACGACTCAACAAGAAATACAAACTCTTTACAATGTGAATGTTTTGAAGCCATTTTTTAGACAATGAAATAAAGCCAAGTGTGAACTTGGGGTAAATAATACTGTCAGTAATATGGACTCCATAAGACCAAATCCCAGTGTTTCACATGTCCATTTTTAGTTGGACAAACTTTTGGAGGCTTTATACTTGAACCTTGTCATATTTGCCAGTTTTATTGCACTCTCCAGGGGTAGGGACAAAATGTAAAACTACCCCCTATCGCTGAGTCTCTCTTATTGATTTGTACTTATAAAGTTTATTGTTCTTTTCTTGGCAAAGGGTTGACAATGATGCTCTCAATGCACTCCATAACGGTGTGAATGTCTTGATCTGCATTGATATGCTGTCCAACATCTTCGTAATACTCTGATATGTCRTCAACATATGCTTGATATTGTGCAATGCGCTGGTTTATTGAATCCTCCTCGTCTTTGGGACTCTGTTTTAATAACAAATCAATGTTATTATAACAGATAATCAATTTTATCAAGCTTCCCAATTGGCTATTGGTAATATTTATAAATTGAGACATCTGATTGGTTAATTAGGGGAAGTGGCTTTCAGGACATTTGTTTTTATGTTTTCAGGCCACTTATACATTTTTTTAGCTTAACTTTATACTAAAATGTTTTAAATCAGCCTAAACTGTTTATTCCACTGATATAGAGCTTGGGCTTCCTGTGTTATATTCTTAACTATGTACTGCATACCCTTTCCAGTCTCTCTCTAACTTCAACTGTCCTTGGTGGGTTGTAGATGAGGTGATATCTTTCTCCAGTGATTGGATCCATGCTTCTTAGAGACAATCTCTCTAGTATTGTGTCATTTGGAACATCCATGAAGATTACTCTAATGTGGATACAAAGTAAACATGAATATAATTCATAATGTTCCACACTTAGGTTCAGTGACCACAAACAAAGATTTGAACCAAGATGCAAAGGAAAAATGAGCAAAGTTTGTTTCTTTTRTGCTCACTGTACCTTGACACCTCAGTTCAATCCTTTGTTTGTGTGGTCACTCGAGCATGACTATGCAATACCATGAAAATGTAAAACACAATTGAAAGAAGGAAGTATTACTTGTTCCACATTACRCACAGTTATTGTCGATGTACCTGTTTGGTTCAAAGCCAGCTCTTGACAATGCCTCCCCCTGTTCTCGTGTTTTGGGGAACCCATGCAACACCCACCCCTTTGTAACAGCATCCAGTTGACTTAGTCTACTGCGCAGTAGTTGGAGAACAGTATCATCCGGCACTGAAATGATTCAGAATAAGACATTATGTTGTCAGTTATCTACTTCACAGACTGTCCTGTGTTGAAATAAAACCATGTGTTTGCATTGAAGCAAGATGAATGGTAAGCATGCAAATGATAGAAATGTTCATTGACAAGTATCTTAGTATAACATTGCAAGCTTACTGCTCACCATGCACTTAAGGAAAAGTTACCCTTTAAGATTGTGGGAGAATTGTGAAGACTATTGCAATCCCTTATTTGGTCCTTCCTTCATGAATCAGTATTTGAGTGCTTTAATGGCTTTTGATAATRAGTATAAGCTTACCCAACATTTTTCTCTCCACATAAGGTCTGACAATCTCTCCAATTTTAGAGTCATCAACCAGGCATTGCTTGATTAGCTCCACACAGGACACTAATAATCATTAATAAATCATTAATAAACAATAATTATAATGAAAACCTTCCTGRGCTGCACTTTAGAGTCTGAATCAAGAGTTTAATTCGAAAAAAAGCAGCTCATTTAGGAACAAACAAGTACAACAATAAAATGAGTCTTATATGGCATTGTGGTAAATTCTTGCAGCAACGCATCTCAGTGGTCTGGCAGTAACCACAAAAATTGCTCATCCTAAATTCTTACTATTGTTAAAGCTGGGATAAAGTTTTGTTTCAGAACATATATTTACCATTGACAAGGTTGTACTTGCTTGCAAGGAGTTCTGCYTGTACACTCTTCCCACACCCAGTGGGACCAAGAAGTACGACACGAGGAGTGTGGGGTGCATTGGTACGTGGATTGGACTTGAGATATGCAAGAACTGAAATAACAAAGAGAAAAGGTTATCAAATATTGTAGGCACTAGGTARGGTTGATTATAATTACAGTAAGGAAACTCAAGTGTTCTTTCTTTATTACCTTGTGAAAACACATCTGCTTTTGGTTGATCAGCATTTACTGTCTTGTAGATTTTTTCATAGCAACTCAATATACCATTTATATGTCTGGTAAATAATGTAAAATGTTGCAATAAGTGCCAACTAAATACCCATGAATTCTAAGTCATGATGAAAGGATTTCTGCATTCTGTGTAGATCACTGAGGTTTTTTGAGTTTTTGTTTTTATTACCTGTGGTATTCCATTAGTCTTTCAATCATTACTTTYTCKGCAGATTTTGGATCAGGAATCAGGCGGCTTACAACTTCAGGCTCACTTGGTGGATCAAATGTTGTATGATACACATCTGAAAGTTAAAGCACACACTGAGTGAGAGAGCCTTTTATAATTCTCTAACGGCCAAGAAATACAAGATTACGAAAAAATAAATTTACACTATAAACACTATATATTGTTAGGATGTTAATCGAAATCACCTCCAGTTTCTGGGTCAATTCTTTTTCCCATAACTCTCTCTACTAGAACTGTGTCAGGACATTCAAGAAGAACTGGGGGAAAAAGATGAAGAACAATTCTCAATTTATTCATCAAGAATTACCAAAGAATTCATAAGCAATAACTTATTTATTATTATTTTTAAAAATATTGATATGAGTGAAAGTGAACTCACCAAAGTGCTTTGGGATTATTCCTTCACTTTGAAGAGCTAATGCCTTGATAAAATAACAATAAATTAAATGCTGGTTTTATTAAGCTCTAAAACATAGTCTGGAAACTTGATTTGAGTCATAATGAAAATCTTTTATGTACCTGTTCTCTTGTGTGAGGGAATCCTTCAAGAAGCCAACCCTAGAATGATGAAATTAGATTATAGTGTCAGGGACAAACCATGCAATTGCACCCCAGACTTTCTTATATAGTTCTGCATCCGTTCTTAGTGGCGGGCTCCCTGTCCCCTGCCTGTTTGTTTGTCAGGAGAGGGACAGGAAGCCTGCCACTAAGAATGGCTGCGAGGAGACTATTCCATATACACACCTCCAGAATTATATAAAATATCCCATCAAGAAAGAATGCAGGGGCTTCAAGAGCTTAATACAGAAATCTTCCAAATATATACCTTTGAAATGCAGTCTTTATTTTGAAGTCTCTCTTTTAATAAATTTATCCAAATGTGTGTGGGGACACTCTGTAAGGAAAGAAATACTCAGTTTGTTACAGCACTGTAGTCAAATTACTTTGCATGTCTGCTTCCTGTACAATATTTGTTTAACAGAGGAAAATATAGGATGGGAACAAACGGTGAATGTGTGAGTTCTTTGTATGTACCTGTTTGGCATTCATGTACTCTTTAGCCTGTTAAAAATTTAATAATTCATCATCAGAATGACTGGATATAGATGAGTAGTTTTTTTTAAATGAGAATATGGATCAGAAAAATTGGTTGATAAAAAGATACATGAAAAAATAATAGAGGGATGGATGGGTGAACAAAAGAATGAAATTAGTATTTCTTTATAAAATTTTTGGACATACCTTGTTGGCATCCTTTGAGTCAGACTCATTTATAAGATTTTCCATGGTAATATGAACGCATTCCAAGTGACGACTTGCCATCACAGCCTGATAATGAAAATCAATATAATGATCCGATATGGTGCCAAAGATAGCATATRAAAGAAAGAATTAACTTGGCATTTAAAAAATAAGACAGCAAAATCTGTGTACCATTGTCCTTTTTCCTGCTGCTGGTGGCCCACCAATAATGATTTCTGGAACTAAAGAAATAACAAAAATTTATTGTTGGCTCTTTACCAATAAAATAAAATGTCAAATACAGACATTGATTGATATATAAATCATTACCATTTTCTTCTTGTTTCAGTGTTTCTATCATAAACGTTAAAGGGTCAGATGGTTGTTCTATTATAAGCTTTGAAAGCAGTCTCTATAATGAAAAAAGTTTAAGCTTAAATGATTAGGTTAAAAACAATATTACATGTACAACACCAAATTTTGCGGTATCTTTCATGTATAATATAAAAGTGTGATTAACTTTATCACCTAATAACGTTTTTGCATAAACAAGAATTCTACGAAAATGTTTTTTTGTATATCAATATTTTGAACTTATTTGGCGCCAACGACTGCACATCACAGTCTGCAAAGTTCTCTTTCTCATCTTCACGCAAAATCATGCGTTAATCTTGTTACAACMTTGACGAAAGTTTCAGAAAATAATACTCACTTCATATGTTTGGAATATTCCATGTTTTTGAGCATAATTTGCAAATTCTGGAGGAATCAAAAGGGGTTTTTTAGTTTGATCCATGTTATTGTCAAAATTCGGTTCAGTTGCTAAGTCAAACAAATCGAGCCCGTGGTACTTTTGTAACAGCTGTTTTTCTTTATAAAGATTTTCTAWCAAAGGATTTGATTGGTTATTATAATGACAATCAATTGAATTGACCAATTGAGATTCAGTTTATATGATCAGCGAATTGTCGGGCGTCTCAAAAGGTATCCATGGTAACACTCACCGACAAAATACAGGGAAAAGTAAGTTTACAACACGCTTTGGAAAGAAAAACTTTGACAAATAGTTTRCGTTTCAACCGATCTTCTTGAACTTTGGCGAGAATAAGAGGTAAGTCTTTCTTTCTCTACTGTGAAAGTTTGGTCCTGAAATATTATGTATTTCTTGAGATATTCAAGCATGTTTAGGCTTATATATTTTGCGCGAAATTTAGAAGGCTCTTGTAAGCTTCTCTAACTTATTTTTTTCTGTAATAACATAGATCTTTTCATATCTATTGAAAAACTTTAAATTACTGTGTTTATGTCCTAAGAAAAATATATTGACAGTGATTTGAGCAGAAAATAAGAAAGCACTTCCCGTTTGCAGCTTTTGTTGTCATGTTTGGATAAGGTTATACAGAAAATATAATCCTACTGGAAAAGAATTCATCAATGTCTTTCGGTGTCTACGATCAAAAATCAGGGATATATATTTCTTGATTCATATTTAGACGGTTTCTACTAGACGAGCGTTCAAGATTTCTTGAGGTGTGTCGATTTTTTGAAAGCACACATGGTTTTAGTGTATAAGATCAGCTGTGGTGGGGAATAAAACACTCCCGCCGAGTAGTTAGTCTTTCTCATTCATATTCTTGATGCTTTTTGAGTCCTATTTTAATCTAAGAACTTTTTTACATTTCTTACACCCCATGGACAATGTTTTTTAGCATGAAGGTATCCTTTGTTTCAGTTTTGATCACATCTTTTTGAAAACAAAATGCATAATAAATCAAGACTTTAAAGAGGAAGTACGAAGGACGTGAAAAATTTGTACTATTGTTCTTAATTATTCATGGGTGCAATAATTTTCTTCATTCACTAGAGATAATGGACACTATTTTACTTCAAATTAGAATTTCCCTTTCTCTTTTCCTTTTTTCCATTCTCCTTTTCCATTCTTTTTTTCTCATTTCCCTTTCTTTTTTCTAATTCCTTACCATGTCTAATTGCATTGAGTAAACAAAAACATGAAAATATTTTTTCTTTTTTTTAAATATTTTTTCTGTTTGCAATCATGTATCTGTGCGTTTATGAGATTTTTGTTGACAATAAAAAAAAATCAACATTTGTTTGCAGTTTTCCTATGCACCAAAGTTCAACATGAGTAGCATTACCCTTGGTGTGCAGAGAGAATCACTTCTAAATAACCCACTCCTACAAAAGGTACAAAMGTTGAWTATTATTTTCATTCAAT